GTTTTAGAACAATTAACGTTAGTAAATAAGAAGTTTATTGCAAATTCGTGCCCGTAGGCTAATTGCAAATCATAAACATACAACAGTATTGAAACAGATTATATTATTATACAATAGTATCTACATGATGAAAAGTAGTTGACCAAAACTATAGCTATGTCTGAAGGGTTTGACTTCTCTTTTGTAAACCATGGAAGACGTAATGTCCCACCTTTTCTAAAATTTGATGGTTTTGGGAAGTTAACAGAAAAATAGTTTTTCATTGTCTGTAAGTTTAGAGAAATTGGGATAAATTGTAGAAGTTTGAATAGTCAGCTCATTTCGAGCGTTGTTATAAAACGAACAATTTGAGATAAAGTGTATTTCGTCTTCCACAGCCTTTGCATTACAATGTTTACAAATTCTTTCATATACAGGAAGTCTTCTATACCGGCCTCTCTCTATTTCCAGAGGATGGGCACTAACTCTAATTAACAATAGAGAGGTCATGTTATAGGTCAACTAAGGTCAGAGCACCTCGAACTGCATGTACTGACTAGATCAGAGCACTACGAACTCATGTAACTGATCAGGGCATTATGCACTGGAAATGTATATAAGTGAGAACTTCATGTTACTTGTGTCATTAGCCTCTGTACACTTGAAGAAGCCACACAAGCGAAACCGGTCGTGTGACAGGCTGAATAAAAGTTCTAAACGGGAACTATGCAGCTCCAGATGTCTTACTGAGGGACGACTGCGTGTGCAAGATGTCGGTTAGCTGAGGAATGAATTCCCTCGAATTCACACAGCATACCAAATATCATCAGAATACATTAAGGCCGTCATGAATTTGCTGACTACAAACATGCGGAAACACCGACAGAACAAACACACAGATAGAGAGACACCAATGCCACGTTTTTTTTAATTGAGGTTATGAAAACGCGTAATTACTCCGTGAAGGAGGTCAGGACCTCCGGACGGAGTGTTGTAATCGGCTGATTTTTCATGTTCGCAGTCAAAACACTGGGTTCTCTTTGTGTAATCGGCACGCAATTTTATACGCCGTCTGCGGGCATGCCCGTGTTGATGCACGAATGTGTGTTTTTGCCGTTGCTGCTTTCGCGGTCAATGTAATATCGCAGACGCACCCCTACAATTACGAGGCGAATTGGAATGGTCCAGAAAAACGCGTTGTTTGGAATAGCAGTGGGGTTCAAAAAAGTTCATGCAGATACGGGGTGGTTTTTATAAGTGGTTCCAGATGTTTTTGCCCATGGTTAAGAGATGCCAAGTTTTTTGGAAGATGTTCGCAGCCAAAACGCATTCCCCCGTACGTCGCATTTCTGTGTAATTTCGCATGTGGTGTTGCATTATGTCCGGGATGATGCACGTCTTTTTATTTTTACCGTAGCTGTTTTGATATTGGAGTAAATGCTTATTTTCGAAACATCCCCATTTCTTTGAAATGGTTTCGTCCGTTTATGCAACTGTTACTGCGCTAATGACGACCAGTCGCGCTGTCCTGATACACCGCGAATGTGCGAGTGTTCCCTGTAGACAGTCCCGGGAGTCATTTTTTTGCACATTCCAGGAGCCAAACCAAAATACGTTCATGAACCGAGTCCAAAAAACCGAAACGTGAAAATCGGATGATCGGACCTGATGTACATTTCTCTTTCTATAGATTGTACACACAATACACACATCTTTAGATAATCTGGCCATGGCAGGTTAAAAAAAAAGTAACCCTGAATCATACTAGATTAGCGTAAATGTATGTTAATGCGTTCAAAACAAGAAAAAAATTGTTTCCGGGTATTAATCTCTTGAATCACGGCGCTGAATATTGACGCAAAAATATTTCGGGCATCGCGCGCCCTTCCTGCGTCACGTGTAGGCATCTCGCATCTCTGATTGGTTGTTGCGTCTTAAGATGACTGAGCCGACGCGCGTTTAAACAATTTTTCTTTGTTCGATTTATCACACTTCACAGAGAATTGTCGCCAATGGCTACTTCTTTTTGTTGCAATATATAATACTTCACGGAGAATTGTCGCCTATGGCTTCTTGTTTGATTTCATTTCAATCACGATTTTTAAAACTTAATCCATTAATTAGGTCACATGTGAATCAACCCGGCCATCTAGCCTCAATTCTTCGCGTGTTGTCCCTTCATTCTTGTCGCTCAATTTTGAGTCAATCATACTCGGATAATTATAAAGAGCTTACCTGGGCTTCACCCAAGCAATCTTTCATCTTGCAAAATTGTATATACATGATGAAGGTGATCTTAACGTCGGTACAGAGAAAACCTTTTCGATGCTTTTTTTACTATTTTATTGACTGGACTGAACTGACTTTACACAAGGAACCCTTAAAATGAGTACTGAAAACGTATATTGGAAACATGACAACAAGAGTTCCGAGATCTCATACCTCCATGAAATATGGGCTTGCTTTGTCATAATTCATTCCAACATGTCCTCATTACTTATGAAAATGACATATAATATATGTATAGTGGTGTTACCTTTAAGTAACCTACATATGTCACGAGGTATAAAATTCCCATCATTCACCAATAAGGAGTCACAGAAATTTCACATGTATTATGCAAATTAGGTCATCATTAGCATAATTGGTATCTGTTGATGTTCCTCTTGCCACATATTAAATAGATTACATGTATAAAAAAAAACTATTATATAGAACACTATAATTATAGAATTTCCTCCTTAATAATGCAAATTAAGTCCTCATTTGCATAATTTAAATTTTATTATGTACAACTCTCTCTCTTAGCTACCTACACACCAAATATGATTAAAATACGTTGTTCCTATCTGGACTTATTGGCTTTTGAATATTTCACCAGAAAGTCCCCTGCAGTTCCAAAACAAGCTGCTAGGGGGACCAAACCCACACCACTTATTCCTGACAGGAAAAGCTATCTGTCACCAAAAAGTCAAAACCATAGCATGTTCAGGACGAAAGATACAAAAACCGGAAGTTCTGATGCAGTACCAAGGTCGGCCACCTGGAGGCCCATATTTGAGCTTGACCTTTGTCTTCCTAAGACTTATCAGCATACCAAATATCATCACAATCCATAAAGGTGTTATGAAGTTATGCGCACACAGACACACAGACACAGACACACACACACACACACACACACACACACACACACACACACACACACACACACACACACACACAGAGAGAGATACACAGACAGACACGCCAAAAACAATACCTCCATTTTTCATGGAGGTAACAAGCCCAATCCCCTGGTCATTTTGTACAGGGGTTGTTACGTTTACCATACTAAGTCCATTGGACAAGACAGAACATCGTTACCATAACATTCATACTGAAGAACACCTTCAGTTAATAAAGATCTCGTTTGTAGAATTTATATTCTAATATAAGGCTTGGAGTGTTAAGATTTTCCCTGTCAACACAGATACTGAGGTTGTTATATTTTACCGATACAGACAAGTCAGGACAAAATGGAGTTCATCTCAATTTTTCATGATTTGCCAACAATTTGCCTCATCCACAAAAACAATTTCAGTTAATTTGCACAGATAATCAAGTTTTCTGACTGAGAAATGGACTGACGTTAGTAACAAAATCAGATTAACTGTTCTACTGAGAGCAAATGTTGTCGCGTGGCGTAGCAAAACGTCTTCGGCTCAGACTCGAGAGGGCGAGGGTTCGTATCCTGCCCGATGCCACCGATCTTGTGCCCTTGGCAACTTTACACGACTTTCCTCACGTCACTCAGATGAAAAAGAAAAACGTTAAAGAACCCACCGCACTTATCGAAAAGTGTAGGGGACCTTCCCGGTGTGAGTGGTTCAAACATTACAGTCTGGTCTCGGGGTTGACATCTTTGAAGGTGATATTCACCTGTTATGTCAATTCTTTCACAAATGTGGTAAATTTAAAATAAAATAAAATAAAATAAAATAAAATGAAATAAAATAAAATAAAATAAAATTAAATTAAATGAAATGAAATGAAATGAAATAGAAATGAAATGAAATGAAATGAAATAAAATAAAATAAAATAAAGTACAATTCCGCGTCACCGAGTGGGTTTTTTCTCCATGTTTCTAAAACGTTTGAATTATTTAGAAGAAAAGAATACCCCAGTAACAAAAGTTCTAAATTCTTCAAAAATTTGAAAATGAAAATTTGAATATATTTGAATTCATTTATACATTTCTGAAACATTTTGAAAGTGACTGTACAAAGATCTCTTTATTTAGAATAAATTTGAACTACCCATGTGTTTCTTTCACTATTCGAAATATTTAGAACTATTTCAAACAAATGACAAAATGGTAGATGTGGGTAATTGCCCCCATAAAAGTAGGTGCTAATCCTACTCTTCTGTATTCTTCTGTATATTTTTAGATTTCACTGCTGGCTCTTTTGTTGTAAGGCATCGATGCCTGACACCCAGGCAGTCTACCCTGTACTTCACAGGGATGTGTGAATTACTTCCTTCCCATCCCACTGACCTATTTACAAAATGTTAGAAATAATTCGAAATAATGGTAAAAAAATGGTAGAGTGCTGTTAGAAATATTTAGAAACTATTGGAAATGTCATAATCCACATCAGGAATATTTCAAACGTTTTAGAAAACCAGGGAATTATTTAGAATATTGACAAGATGTTCAAAATATTTCCAAATTATGAAATTTCTTACACAAACAGTTACAAAGAATTCAAAACATTTCTAAATGATGACAATAACAACCCACTCGGTGACGCGGAATTGACTATAAAATAAACTGAAATAAAATAAAATAAAATAAAATAAAATAAAATAAAATAAAATAAAATAAAATAAAATAAAATAAAATAAAATAAAATAAAATAAAATAAAATAAAATAAAATAAAATAAAATAAAATAAAATAAAATAAAATAAAATAAAATAAAATAAAATAACCAGGCACGGTTTGGGACAAGGCAAGGTTTGGGACACAGCAAAGGGCTTTACACAGTAGTTTCTGTTTCGATATGCGGACGAACTGTCTGTGCTTCGACGCAAACAAGAACCGGGCTCTTCCTCAGCTTCGCGGGTACCACCAGAGGACGTCCCGAGCTGGACGACGTGGTTTTAGGCGTCTTGGACCGTGGCGCCAGGCCGGGCTGTTTCTTCTCCTTGGCGGCACAGAAGGCGCTCTTGACGCAGGTGCGGAAGTCATCTCTAGCCATGGCATAGATGAAGGGGTTGGTGGCTGAATTGGTGTAGGTGAGGATCAGCGCAGTCACCTACAGGAGCAAAAAGGTTTGTTGTACATAACTCCTTTAAATTTACAACAAACCGGCACATGCTGTCCAGTTCTAGAATTCTGTGGGGCCTCGGTAGCCTGGGTGCCATATTGCCCTCAAAGTTACCTACAGCTCCCTACTGAAGCTGACAACCAGGCTTCAGTCTCGCAGGTTTGTGTGTTTTTAAAACAGACGAAAATTAATGCGTGCGTGTCATGTGAGGCCTAACACCAATACATCCGAAGTTGGCAACAGACATAAACACTATGAAGATTGACACGTTCTTTGCACGAAAAATTAAAGAGGCCATCTAACTCAGGGCATTACAACCATCCCTCAACAGAGACGGGGGGGGGCGCCACAGGCTTTCTGCAACCTATGATCCACTGCTCATGGAGTCAGGTGTGTTATCTGCGTGACGTCACGGAAGCGGTGGATTGGTCATTCCTTGACAAAGACTGGAGTTGTACAGTACAGTCAAAAATGTGGGTGAGTTCAATTTGTTGTGTTGGAAATTACAGTTTAAACTTGCTTCATAAAGATTGACACGTACCTTGATCCAGTGCAAGGCGTTTGTTATCTCCTTCACCTCAGTCAGCATAGCCCAGAGGTTGATGACGTGGTTTGGGAGCCAACAGACTGCGAACACGGCCACCACTCCGATCACCATACACGCAGTCCGTCTGGTCCGCTGGAAAACAATCGGAGGTTTAAGATTGCAGACATGGTTTTATGGATACAGGTTAATTCCAACACACAGTTTGAAGAGAGATCAATTTTTCAGTGACCACTGTCACCTTCATCAGGAACTATTATTTTATATAGCATGTGGTAAACCGCTACCTTTTTCCTCTGTGTGTCCATCTGGTTGGTGTCTGACTGGAACCGGTTGTAGAGGCGGTAGACGATGGCTGAGCACGTGAACAGGCACACGGCCAGGGGGAGGAAGTACAGGAACAGTATCGAGAAGATCTGGTAGCCTCGCTCCCAGGCCTTTGACGGGTACACTGGGCGGCAGATCTTCAGACTTTCTCCGTACCATGTGATGGTCACCAGGCGGTAGTACAGAGCTGTCGGTAGAGGCATGATGAACGAGGCTATGGACGGAAAGAAAAGCTCAGTTTTAAAAAATTAATTCAGTATACCGAAGACTACCATTCATTCATTCATTCATTCATTCATTCATTCATTCATTCATTCATTCATGTAAAAAAAAGTACATCATTAAAATAATACGAAAACGCTAGAGATATACAAATAATACAGAAAAAAACTAGATGCATAGTAAATTGTCTTTCGGAAGATAGAGTTCCTGTAAAGGGCATCAGATCTTAGAAGGCGAATGCTGATTGAGTTATGGGAGGAAAGTAATCGTTTTAAGAAAGAGTAACAAATCCTCCTCCGCCTAGTTTCAAATGTGTCAGTATAGTGGTAGACAAACATCTCGCTAGCACTACATCGCCGAGGTAAATTCATGATAATACTATCATGAAGGTTGGGAGCTGCCCAAGTCCTACCTACCCCTACTCCGCAAGGAGGCGGGGGAGGTCAGAAGATCCAAACAAGTCTCGACCTAGTCTCGTGTTCTCGCGAGACTAGGTCACTCCGTGATCAAGGTGTACAGTCGACACCGAAAATTTGGAGGTACGTGATTTACCTTACAAAAATACAGTCACTGATCGAAGAATTTCTACTAACTGTTAATTATACGTGACTGATGAACCTCTTCAACGATGATAATACTACCATTTCCTATACCAGAATTACTTGGACTTCAATTGAGTTGAATAGCAAAATTAAGCAGTGCGTTACACGTAACAAAATTCCTGCTGTATGGTATACAGGGGAAAATGTAGTAAAACATATAGGCGTTAGACGTTCCTGTAATGATTACAAAATGCCAATTTTCATTCCATACTACCATTTCATCCTACACATCACACACTTGTATTGGGTAGCTTATGGACCTGTCCTTATGTGCCAATAGTTGGCATACTTTGAACACTTGTTGTGCAATCAATGTTTTTATTAAAGAATTCCAGCCAAGGGACTTTCTTATGCAGTTTCTAGTATCCGAAAAATGCTTTTGAATTTCCTTCGTTGGTATTAGAAGAAATGTAACTGAAAACATGAACTCTAGTAACCCGGTGCCATAATATTCACGTCGATAAAATTGCCTTCGTAGAATGTCTTGCACATTTTAAGTATTTATGCTTCGTTAGATTACATATGGTGGGTTTTCTTTACTCAATTTTTAGATCTTTATATTCAATTTTATTACTAAGGTGGCTGTCTCCTTGTACTGGCATAATGATGAAAGCGCCAAAAACTGTTTGGATCATACTAAGCAGCTAGCAGTAAAATGAATTTTGTCCTATTCGCACGCTCGCATCAGTTTTAGGGTTCCCAGAGGATGTCATCCATATAATCAAATCAACATGGCATAACATTACAGATACATTATTATAAATTATAAATAAATAAAACCCAACAGAGCTTCTACGCCGTCTCATTTCTACTTATTATTATTTCGTATATCGTATTGCTACTGTATGATATTGATATTTTATCATGAGTTTTGTGTTATAATAGTTTGTTTATGTAGTACGTGTCAGTGGTAACCGCTCCCCGCCTGCTGCCACATGTTATGCCTTGTTGCATTTTCAAAAGGCCATGTTGATTTGATTATATGGATGACATCCTCTGGGAACCCCAAAACTGCGGCGAGCGTGCGAATAATGCGAAGAATTTTGGCTTTATTACGAAATCTACATGGCCATGAAGGTTTAACAAATGACTAAACATACAGAATATGCTACGGCGAAAAATAGACTTTTTTGATTTCTTCACATTTTTTCTTTTCCTTTGCAATTAATTTTGGCATTCTACGACATCAGTATCGTTTTTTTTATATTTCTTTTACAGCATATAATTGTTCATTTTACTGCTAGCTGCTTTGTATGATTTGCAATATGATTCAAACAATTTTTTTGGAATTGGACAAAAATTCATGCGGATGTCATCCATATGTCATGATCGTATCAAGATGGCCGAAGTAACGTAAAGTACATTCAATCACTTTTGCATGTAGGCGTGCACCTGAATGGCACCCGTACCATGAAATAGCTCTCCTGCTGTAAACTCACAGAGAGCACAGGTCGCGTTCGCACAAGACTTCACTAAGATGTGTCTAAAAGCAATCTGAGGAGGTTTGTCAGTACAAGACAACCTGGAAGAAAGCCTGAGAGGCTGAAAACAGTGCAAACAGTGCAAAAGACGAAATCTTACAACGTCGTATCATCCGTAAATAATTTCATCAGTTTGGTAAACGAATGAATAGCAAAGTTCTTTGATCACAACCATTCATTTTTCACGAGCCGACGTTTCGATGACCATCTGTCATCTTCATCAGGGCAATTCTGAGTGCACAGTAAACCAGTCAGAATTGCCCTGATGAAGATGACAGACGGTCATCGAAACGTCGGCTCGTGAAACATAAATGGATGTGATCAAAGAACTTTGCTATTAAACGTCGTATCATATTTTGAAAATGAAAAAAAAAGCTATGAAGATAGTGGAACGATTCCGTGAACTGAATTGCGTTCAGGTAGACTGTGGCAAGGATTTCTACATCATGTCATATCATAATGTTCGGATAAGGGGCGGTAATATTTGGTAGTAAATAATTACATAATATTATAAAGAAGAAACCAAGCAAACAAATACAGGAACTCTATCTTCCCGTTCAGGTCAGAAAATGTTTTGGTCAGAGGACAGGGGTACTATTAATAATCTCCAAGCAGATGTTTCGGTGGACTGTATCCATTCGCCACCCCACATTTGAGTACATGGATACAGTCTGACCAATGGATACTGTCTGGCCGATTTGATACTGTATTTTGCAGCCACCGAAAGATATGCTTGCAGATTGTTCTATATGCTCGTACATCTATAACTGCGTCAAGAAGCAAAAAGAAGTTGAACATGTAAGTAGTAGATCACATTAGTATGTATAGTTTAAGTGTCATTGCTGTATCATTTTCCTTGTCTATTCATGACCTGTACTTAGCTTGTTAGAGCACAAACGTACAACAAGAATTCGGAGATCTCAAACCTCCATGAAATATATGAGTTTTTGTAAATGTGTTTGCACAGTACACTACACTACACTACAGTACAGAACAAAATAACACAGGTTTTTGCCCTGAAATAGGTCAGGCTGTCAACTCAGTACATGTGGGCTATGCCATAGGGACCTCATCAATCAAACCCGGGTAGCCGCGCTTCCTGACCACACGTGTTTTGCATTAAACCGGCACATCTGTTTTCCCTCAAAATACAAAAGTTCTGCTGCAGTACCAAGGTCAGCCATCAGGAGGCCCATATTTGACCTTGACCTTTGGCTTCCTAAGACCTACCAGCATACCAAATATCATCACAATCCATAAAGGCGTTCTGAAGTTATGCTGACTACAAATGTGCGGAAACACACACACACACACACACACACACATACACACACACACGCGCGCGCGCGCAATACCTCCATTTTTCATGGAGGTAATAAAGGTCTTTCATTCATTAATTAATTGAAATGCAGGTTACCGATCCAGATGATGATACTGCCGATGATGGCCACTCTTTTCCGGCGGAAGGTCAGTGACAGCATCGGGTGCAATATGGCAATGTAGCGGTCAAGGCTGAGCAAGGCCAGGGTCAAGCAGGTTGCCTGGACAGTCACCTAATGGTTGTAGAAAAAAATGTAAAAACATAGCAAAGTTAACAATGAAGATGTGGCGGTTGAAATAGATAAATGAATAATGACAATGATAATAACAATGATGATTATTATCTATATATATAATAGCCACATACAACAGTTTTTCTTTTCCTACTGTTATAATGATACGTTTATTCCAAATTCCTGCCCGAAAAAAGCTACTTGCCAATAACAAAGATAAGAGAACATTGAAACAGAGTAAAACATATACATAATACAAGATATTTAATTACCTTAAGGAATAGCTATGTCTAAAGTAAAGCTATGTCTGGAGGGTTTGACTTCTCTTTTGTAAACCATGGAAGAAGTACATGTAATGTCCCACCTTTTCCAAAATTGGTGAGTTTTGAGTAGTTAAAAGAATAGTATTTTGGGGGAAATTGGGATAAATTGTAGAAGTTTGATTAGACAACTCATTTCGAGCGTTGTTCTAAACCAACAGTTTGAGATAAAGTGTTCTAAGCAAAAGATTACCTGCATGAGGTAGTTGACGAACTTGCACATCGCCTGTCCAAACACGTAGGACGTGGTCACGTAGTTGACCGCAGTGAAAGGCACGCAGCACAGCAGGAAGGCCAGGTCAGTGACCGCCAGGTTGACCAGATAATAAGTGGTGACCGTCCGCATCTTTTTGAAGAGGGCCACCACATAGATGACTAGGAAGTTCCCGGCAACCCCCACCAGGAAAATGAAGCCAAAGATGATGGGAGGGACGTAGTCCTGCCAGGAGATTTGGATCGGACCGGGGTCGATTTCGGTGCCGTTGGAAAGACTGGGGTCGTTCTGTAACGTCATGTTACTGAACATGGCGTCCATCGAGAAGTCGGAGTGGTTGACGCCGTTCTGTAGCGACAAAAACGCCGATGAATGCCATGAGGTGGAAAATCTTTTTAAAGATGCTTTTATTGATTGATTGATTGATTGATTGATTGATCTTAAAAACAGTTGGGTGATACCTTCAGTTTAGGACAACTAATTTCTAAGGTAGCCCAACAGAACAAGAAACAAAGGACAATCAAATAATTAAACATGGAGATAATAAGTAATATGGACAAAGAGTACAAGTAATCAATCATTAGAAACAAGACATGTCAACCAAAACAAAGTCTAAATCATAAGGCATAATCATAGTCCGTGCCATTCCAGTCGAAAGATAAGTCAGTCCATGAGGTCAGGGGTCCTAATCAGAAACAAATATCTTGTCTACTAACTGAAAAAGGAAGTCCTGTTAAATTTTCTTGAAAATTTCTATTCATAAACATCAAAAATATTACATTCACTGAAGAATGTAGAAGTTTACATACACATGTCTTGTAGAAGTATAAATCAAATCAAATCAAGTATTCTTGATTTTTTCTTAAATGTTCCCAGAAGAAAACAGTGCTACCTTGGTGACAGTCTAGCTTTGGTAACAATATGGGCGATTTTTTGTACCGTTCTGTGCGGCAATATGGTATCTGTATCGGTATAGCGGGGAATGGCTCTATCATAGAAGGGATAGAACTCCTCCCTAGCAGCTATGAAACAAAACAAAACTTTTGTTCCATATGTACACAGAGTCCACAAACTCTAGGTGTGTGGCTTTGGATGGGGTTGTTTAAACACGGGTGTAATTTCCGCACGAGAAAAGAGCGGTACTCACCGAAAGGAATTCCTTCAACCACACCGGTAGCATGTTATCCGGCTGCAAGAGAAAATACGGGGTATTATAGATGTGACTAAAATATAGACCGTTGGGAGAAATTGTAAACCTGACCGGACATAAACAGTTCGCTTGTTCACATGGCGGGTAAAAACGTCAACAAAACAAATGGCCGGGCCAAAACAGCAACTGCGGGCGACCGTGGTCACTTTGCACCTTTTTATTCGATCCAGGGGAAACTGGAAAATAGATAGACACTAACATCAGATGCTCACATCTTCAACAAGAACACCTGATGAAAGTATTACGCGTGGGCAAAACGAAGAATATGCAGAAGGTTGTCATGGCACCGGCGAACTTTATGGCATGGGCACAACGGGCGAAGCTTTAAAATGTGGAATGGATAATCAGTATGTTACCTCCATCGATCAAGTAGAGAAATCGGGTGAAGAGGCTGCTAGTACTGATGCATTAGATCGTGGGACTATGTTAGATGGTACACCTGGTCCTAGCGATGAATATAGAACAGAATAGAGTTCCCCGATCTCATACCTTCGCCAAATGATGTTAATCTTTATGACTGACAAATTATACATTAGATTATTCCCCCCTGATTTAACAAATAGGAACCTAATTTTCATGAATTATATCATTTTATCATAATCTCAACCAAAAGACAGTCTTATATTAACAAACAATGCATTCTAGTATTTCCTACTAAATTATGCAAATGAGGTCCTGATTTGAATAAATTATGTTTAATGATGTTCACCTCAACTTAACTTTCAAATACCACAAGTATGAAATTCCAGGCAGTTATCATTACATAATTATAAAATTTTCTCATTAATTATGCAAATTAAGTCATAATTAACATAATCAATATCTGCCTGTGTTTCTCTCCTTATCAATTACCAATGTCACAAGCTTCAATTGTCTTATCATGGAATGCAGCTGATTTATAGAATTTCCCCATAAATTATGCAAATTACATCCATATTTGCATAATTGTCACATAATTATATTAAGCATCATGTAAGCTACCTACATACCAAAAATCACGACGATCCGTCAACCCGTTCTTGAGTTATCCTCTTTTGAATATTTTCAAGAATATATCCCTGCAGTTCCAGAGCAAGCTGCTAGGGGGCCCAAACTCACGTCACTTCTTCCCCAGCATAAGAGCTACCTACCCCCCAAATTTCATCACCATAACATGTCTAGATCATGAGATACCAAAACCGGAAGTTCAGCTGCAGTACCATAACAAGCCGCTAGGGGGTCCAAAATCTAATCATTTTGAGGTCTCATCAAGACCTACCCACCTACCAAATATCAAGACAATCCATCAAGGCCTTCTCAAGTTATCGTGTTTACAGACAGACAGACAGACACACACACACACACACACACACACACACACACATACACGAACGCCTCTGAAAACATAACCTTCTTGGCGAAGGTAATCATGGCCTAACTGTACTAGTCTGTGCAAGATGGCATCAGGTCGCCCGGGGCTCTTGCAACATGCTCCTTCCGAACATGTGCACGCCCCTCGCTTACTCATTTCAGGAAATGTAAGGTCATGGCAGGATGTAAGATGTTCTAAATGGACGAGATAAAACCAGAAGCACAGTGGGAGAGTGAGGTCAGAAAGGGTATGAAACATGAAGTGCCGGCTGCGCTAGGCTGACGTTCTTCCTGCCAATTAGAACTAGCTACTGGTAGATAGAAATACAAATCTATTAACTTATATATGATTATGAATGAAATTCTTAGTAAAAAGTAAATTCTAAGAAAAGTCACCAAATTTGACGGTTCATGCGCTATCCGAGGTAAAAGTTGGCCCAGGGCCCCAAAGCCCCCCCCCCCTTCTGCCTTTTCGTCGTAATTGCTTTGTACTTCATCGCGTCTATATCATACCTCTTTTATCTATGAAGAAAAAACTACAGGTTTTTTTAAATAAAAGAAATTAGTGCAAAGAGAAACGGTTACTAAGCCATAGAAATACAGCCGGTCTCAACACCACGGGCCTTCCTTTAAAATTGATATATTTCTTTTAAAAATATCAACAGGACTAGAGAAGAAATATAATATGCATAGCAACAGTGACAAAATTTATCAACAATATCCTAATGTAACAGAAAGAAATGATGATTCTTTCTGGAAACAGACCTGTCATTATAAAGATATATTTAAAGGCTGTTTTCAGAGTCAGGTATATTTCTCGTGTATGGCAGAACGGAATGGAACGCTGTAATAGGGACGATCTAGGCATAGGGACCAGTTGATTTTGACATACTGATATCATCTATTGAACCTGATCCAAGCCACTAAACATCAAGATATCCAGCCATACTTAATAAAGAACTAAAGAACCACAAAGACTTAGTCAGACTCAAGAACTTCTAGAGAAAGGTCGATCAAAAAAAATTGTCTTCAAAGTCTCCCGGTCCTTCAAGCGTGTTTGAGCATATATATATATATCTAGACACACATCTGACACGCACTTATAACCACTGTATGTGTCCAGAGATGAAAGAATACTATAGCAGAAAACTCGTTGAAAGCCAGCTGATTACATCACAAGGATAGTGAAAATTCCAAAGTAAATAGCACATTTAGAAAAGAAAAGAAAACGGAAAATAGCACTGAACAATGTATAGAAACAATGGACAAAAAGGCAACCTCTATTTACTCAAGCCTTGCTCGGGTATTTTTTTAATAACCATATGGTGACTGGAACTAAGAACATCCTTTATCAATTCTCCTCATTCACAAGATCGAGATATTTTCGTCAACAGGTACCAGATACACAATCTTGATTTCTTGTCCGAACTAGAAAGAAAAGAAAGCCTTTCTCATATTTTAGTTAATGTTATAGTCTGTGTTTCAAACTGCGATGGTATAAAAAAGTATCTCATCTTATCTATCCCTTAGTCTAATTATTTGACAATTGCGGTACCATAGATTATCTGACAACCAGTTTTCTCCGCCGTTTTCTGTTTCTCTTATTGTTTTACTTATCGTGCCATGACGGTCCATTCTCTGATGTTATCTTATCATCATTTTCCACTTCCTACCCGTCTAAGATAGTATAGTCGTGGTACAAGCAAAATATTGATAAAGAAACATAATTATAACTTGTTTTCCATCCGAAAAGACTGGAAGAAACCACAAAATATATCACTGTATAAAAAAAAAATGTTGTACTTACCGCAGACATGTCTGTCGCGAGGCGTACCGGCTAGCCGACTGAGGCAGCTGGAATATCAGCTCCTGTGCGGCGGCAGTTCACAACATTGCCCCCGCGGCGGTACCAAATTAAGCATGTGTCAGACGTACCGAGAGACTTTCATTCTACCTTTTCTTACAACAGCAGAGAAAAGATTTAGTCGATGTAGTCCTCATATCACCAACAGAACAGTGACCAACTGACAAAAAACACCAAAACGCTAAAGCCAACGGTGTTTATGTTTATGTTTATGTTTATGTTTATGTTTATGTTTATGTTTATGTTTATGTTTATGTTTATGTTTATGTTTATGTTTATGTTTATGTTTATGTTTATGTTTATGAGGAACTCTATTAGTAAAAACAACAGTTTCTTACTACTCTTCCTGGAGTCCTTTACATTAAAATTACATCATAATAATGACACAATTCCACTGTCATCACAATATTGCAAATATTTATATTACAAATTCTTAATAAAATACTTCAATATAGCAACTACACTATAATTACCCAATAACTACTATATATTAACATTACAATATAACAACTACACCATAATTACTAAATTAATAACCACATAAATAACACAACTTGATACCGATTGATAATAAATGCCAAACCCTTCACGACTACTAGTTGCAGGTTGGTCAGCTAACAACGCGCAATAAGAAGAATTATATAAAAAAACAACGTAGTTTTTTTTTTTAAATTTACTTTTTTACTTCATAGGTCACCACAAAACAAGGCTCATGGGAGCCACTCAAATGTTACTGTACAGCCATTGAGGACAGATGTTTGTTGACCATAGACTTGAAGAGCTTAAGGTTATACTCATAAGGGATGCAATCACGAGGTAGCTTATTCCAAGTGGGAGATCAGCTGCAGGGGCACACCAATTGTTTGGTCTTCCATAGCTGATTAATTCAGCTTCAAATTGTCGTCAGCGAAGCATCCACTGGTTGACACCCGCAGTGCTTCCTGTTATTGCCAATAGATGTAACTTTATTAAAGATTCACGTTTCCATTGATGTACACAACACAGCCCGACGTCGACGTCGACTAAATAAAATAAAATGAAAACTATACAAGGTCGTTAACAGTTGGCAAACGGCCGATTCTATGAGGAACGGCAACCTTTGATTGTATTACAAGGTTCCGTCAACACTGTAATGTTTCGTGGCGTATAGGATCAGTGTTATATTAGTTAGACCACACCGTAAATTGGATGACATCCTCTGAAGGGCCCCTAAACTAGTACTAGTGCGCGCGTGCGAATAAAAAACATTCGGCCCAAAATAAAAATTTGGTACTTCGGGAGATACGGAATACAGCGTGTTGTATTCTATATAACGTTATATTCTTTGAAACTTTAGACGCCTTCCTTTCTTTGTACTCATCTTGTTCTCTTTTTGCGTTTTTGCTTACGCGTTACGGTTTTGTTTGACGTCAGGGAAATGTGGATAAATAGGATAAAAAGGAGTTCAGAAATATTGGAGGTTGATGTTTACCTTTGATACCTTTTATTAAACTCTACAGTTTGTGATGGTACACACAGCATGTTCGGCATGTGCTTTCATGTATGTAATAGCAATTTTTGTTTCATGTTGTTTTGACGGAAGTGTGATGTTTTTCAATCATAGATCCAAATGATAAAGCTACCGAAGATGGCAACGCCCCGAGGTGCACTAGAGCATATATTACCGGTGTCACAGCGATTTCACCCCCCCTCCCCCCGTGTACACTATACGACATCCAGTACGTTTCTAGCGGGGACCAATCATAGGGCTGCTGACAAGTCACTGACTAGCAGCTATTAGCACCTTGTTTCATATAAATACCATAAACTCAACCCAAGCGCGTAATTGTTGCTTACTTCAGTACTAACAAGGAGGTTTAATACTGTATTTAACCAAGGACTTCCACAATCAGTTTGTAAAATCTTCTGGATAGACAAATCGAAATGGGACTTTAGACATGAAGTTTTACACATACAAATGGGGCTGCATTAGCGCTATGGAGCGATCACTACGGGAAGGAACGGATCTTAGCGAAGCCGAGATTTGTGAAGCAATTCCAACCTATCGAAGACGGGCCGCCAAACACAAAAATGGAGGCAAATTACAGACAACAAGCCAACAAAGACAACATCATCAGACCAAGAAACAAAGGCAAAGCGTCGGAAAAAAATAAAACAGACTCACAAGCAGATTGTTCTGCTTGGAGAACACCACAGCAAAGTTCAAGCACGCACGGTGGGCAACTATACACCGTACCACAGGTATGGCAGGTACACAAATCTGATTAACAACTCTAACTATATTATTACGGGTTCGGTTAAAGCAGGAAAGTAACCTCCTTGGTTGAAATATTCCCTGTTGCTATGCTCAACAGCATAGGCATCTCAACAACGCAGGATTTGAGCTGGTCATTGGTAAAATAGTTCCCCGACATTCGTAATTCCCCGAATACTGCGAAATACTGTGATTAGAATTATTCAACAAATTTGTGTACTTGGACATGTATAAACAGAAGTTTTCGAGGAAACAACTTTTTTTGTTTGAGGCGAAATCGCTAAAGCTAGAGGGACGAGGTGGGGGAACCAAATTACTAGTAGGGTCGTGTGGCGCAGTCGGTAGTGCGTTCGGATCACACCCAAGAGGTCGCGGTTTCGAACCCTGCCCATGTCACCGAACTTGTGCCCTTGGGAAAGGCTCTTTACACGACTTTCCTCGCTTCACTCAGGTGGAAATGAGTATCTATAGCTTCGGTTAGGGACGTCCCTCGGATAGGACGTTAAATGGAGGTCCCGTGTTTGGGGAGAGCCACACCCCACGCATGTTAAAGAACCCACTGTACTTATCGAAAAGAGTAGGGGACCTTCCCGGTGTGAGTGGTTTAAATCTTACAGCCCGGTCTTACGCAGCTTGTACATGTACGCACATGTACAAAACTGGTGTGTTACACCTAAAGGCGGTTTACCAGTTATGCGAAACAAACAAACAAACTAGCGGGGAAATTGCTAGAGATCTCGAAAAGGGGAGGACGAAATCGCTATAGATTTAGGCCCTGTTCATATGAAGTTAGTGAAGGCGCTTTACACGTGGTTTCCCCCGAAACCGCTTTCAAGTGGCTCCATCTGAACGCTCCAAATCACATTGAAAGCGCCTTGATCCCAAACCACTTCTAGAGGTGGTTTCGAATAGATTTTCCCGCATCGAGATTTGCGTCTGAACGCAATGTGATTTCAATGTGACTTCGCCTGGTCATGGATTACGGGGTGATATTTCTTTATTTATATGCAATACCAAATTTTACGTGGCAGCAACTTAAAGAGCAGTGATGGTCAAATAATTTGTCCGTTCTAGGACGAACTTCACCGCCTCTGGCGGGACCACGTCGGCATTCGGCCGAGATACGCTGGGAGGGGGGCACCAGCAAGCAGGTCATTGACTCTGACATTAATAACACACTACCTTGCGTGTTATCATCAAACAGCAATTAATGTATATTCGGAGAATGTGTGGCACGTGGACCAGATGTGAGGAATGCGAGTTACCCGAATCGCGGTTCGGGTGACTTCACATGAACAAGGCCTAAGTCCCGGGGAGGGCGAAATCGCGTGACACCGGTCAGTCAGCTAGCCTGAACCGTTACCCAGAGAAAAAATGCAAACAATCCCATTATCTCAATGTGTGACCAATTGCCTGTGGATATAGATTTTATAAAACTGTAAAATTAGAGAGTAAGTGCACATCCACTAGAGATCGAAAGGAGGCGCTAATAAACAGCCACCTGTCCACTAGACAAGGCTCGCATATTGATATATCTGATATTTCGATAGTGATGCTTAGTGGTATTGATGCGAGAATGTAACAGGTATAATAATTAGGCTAAATGAATAAATGTCTCAACATTAAATGTTTCATTTGGCGTCCTTCCATTGAACAAATCTCATATTAAAGATGATATTATTTGACCAAGGAGGTTTAAACCTACTTTATCTGACAAGAATGACATCTTGGCTTTGGAATGGCACTTTCCAACAACACTATTCAAGAGGTAGTAGTGACTTCGCACATACAGAAATGAAATGATGATATTCCTTTCCAAAAAAACGTCAAAAAGTGCACTTAGAAAAGTCCCCTTTTTCTCTTGCAGCATATTGCAACAGCCTTCACGCCCTGGCCACGTGCCATACACTTGTTGTCCACGGGATAGGCACCCTCCGCTCGACCGTCGTTCACGTGCACATTACAGCCGGTCAACACGGTGTCTGAAGGACAGGTGACAGCAACCTGACAACAACAACAACAAAAAAGACATTGGTGACTTAATGCGTGCGAAGTTGAAAAACTGAGCTAAACATTTTATTTCACAATACTTCAACGTGCAAACTTCTTGCCTCCACCTACATAGTCTCCACCAGACTCCTTTGCAGGCTGAAAATAGTAGAAATCGGCCTAGAAAGAATGTAGCTGGCCAGGCGAGTACTACTAGTTAGCCGGCAATATAGAGGGTCCAGTTTTGTAGGCAAACTGGACCCTCTATGGCCGGCCAACTGCCCTGGCCAGCTATATTCTTTTTAGGCCGATTTCTACTGTTTATTCAGCCTGCGAAGGAGTCTGGTGGAGACTAGGTTGAGGATATAAATTGATAACTCCGAATCATTATCTGTGCGTTAAGAATAAACGACCGCCATATTGGATCTATGGGCTCCTCCAACATGGCGGCGGCTATCAAATACATAACCCATGGCATGTGAACATGTGACGTCATTAATATATGATGTAACTCACAAATACATCATTGTACATAATATTAATAGTAGAAGTCAAGTAGAAAAGTAACATTTGCAAAGTGCATAATGTTGACCTTCGCATATGATCTGCTCTGTTAATTCTTGCTCAAATACATTCATACACATGGTCAGACAGGAGTCTAAATCCCTCCTATAAAATGGCAACATTATGTACCCCAACACCAGTTACTATGGTGACAGACGTCAGCAAAACTAGGTTAGCGTTTGGAACGGAAGAAGAAGAAGAGGAAACGTAGCAAAAGAAAAAAAAACAATATGTTTTCCTTCGGCAAACATAATGAAGTCATTGCTTACCTGATTTTCTCCTCTCTTTGCCTGCTCTGACCAGATGGCCTGGCAGTTCATGTCACGTGACTTGCAGCAGGTGGCGTGCGCCGTGACGTCACTTCCGCCCTGTCCGTTTTGTGCCGCGCACTTCCGGAGCGCGGACGGAAACAGCCCGAAGAGCCGGGACCTTTCCGGCCGGGCGCCGTCTGTGTAACCGGTCTCCGTTCGGGCACTGCACCCTGGGGAGATAATGAATGAATGAATGAATGAATGAATGAATGAATGAATGAATGAATGAATGAATGAATGAATGAATGAATGAATGAATGAATGAATGAATGAATGAATGAATGAATGAATGAATGAATGAATGAATGAATGAATGAATGAATGAATGAATGAATGAATGAATGAATGAATGAATGATCTTTGTTGCTCGATAGTTGTACATGGTACAATGTATGGCAAGGATGACAGTGTGGTCTTGACAATCATACTTGTCAATTCCTCGAAACTAAAACTACCATCACACCAAACGATGTGTTACACCTAACCCTTGCACATCTAACTCTAAACTTAGTCTTAAGCTATCTAATGACAATGCCCCTACTGTACTTACCCTACGGTGACAGCGAGTTCTACTCTGCGATAGGTCTAGGAAAGGATGAATTTTTGAACACCTCAATCCTTGGTACGTACCTACAAGCATGTCGCATGACAACACCGTCCTGTCGCACTTGGCCTTCACCTCCACAGCGTCACGACGTGAAGATTTCCGGGACTCCCTCAGGTAGCAGCGCGCACCTGGCCAGGTGCAACACCTGGCGGCGGCGTACACACCTGTTCCACCTGCGCCATTCACAGCCACGCAAGCCTGCCTGCCACCGGGCAAGTCCTGAAATACGAAACAACGAATCATGTAGAAGTGTACTAGTTCTTAATAGTTTTCTTCAACATTCTGCCAGTACCCGTTGAACGTTTATGTAGAATTTCGATAGAACCATACCAGCTAGTAATATTATTAACTGACATACATTGTACCTGTTACAATCGTTGTGCAAACTTTGACGTGACTTTGACTTGTGGCCAGATATCTAGTCTATCGTGGTTGGGGCAGGCTGTCTATGGGGCTCTATGAGTGTTGTGCCTGTAGGAGTTTTGCATGCCAAGTTCAATAAAGATCTTGCAATTGAATCTTGAAAGAAAAGGCATCACAAAACGTTTGCTGTGCCTACCGTGTTAAACTCTCCTGCCCTCATATCACCTTCAGCAGCCAGGGACGAACATCCCATAATAGTCTCGTTGACGTTGCAGGCGGCAGACGCCGGGTCCCCGTCCCCCCCTCCGGACTTAATGGACCAGACCGTTCGGCAGGCCGGAGTCACTGGCAGGAAAAAGGGGGAGGGAGAAGTGTTATGATCACTGGAAAAACATCATTTGCAAAGCAACTGTATAATGTTTATCTTCACATGGTCTAGCCTAACAAACTACTGCTCTAACTATTCTTATTCAAACACATTCGTATAATTATATGGTGTCCAGTCTCTGCAACATAATGTAACCCGACACCATAGGGTGTCTGTTACAGCACCAGTTACCATGGTGACAGCCGTCTGGCCCAGGTCAATGACCTAATGTGATTGGAACGGAAGAAGAAACGGAGCAATAACAATTTGCGAAGGTGAACACAATAACCATGTCTTCGGGAAGTTAGCAAAAGTTATGATCCTAGAGACAATACCGTTACAAACTTGTTACTTGTTATGTGGATAAACAGTTGATTCCATCATGCAAGGAATAATCCAGGGGTTTAAAACAGAGAAGATTAGATCGGATAACATCAGAGAATGGACCAGCATGACGACACATGAACCACCTTGTGAGGTTGTTCAAAATAAATCGCAACGGAACCGGTTTGGAGCGTTCATGTTCCCAAATGAATGGATTTATTTTGTGGTCGAACAATTGGACTATTAAAGGGATAAATGAGATGAAAAAGTTACAGGGGTGCCAACTATAATTAATACGAATCTTCCGGAATCCATACCAATTTTACGAAAAAAATTCGATCAATTACGAGGAAACATACGAATTTTAGAATTAGTAAGGATCGTATGTTTCCGAGTAATGGATCATATGTATTCCGTAAAATTCGTATGTATCGGATAATGGTAACTAATTGTATGTATTTCGTAGAAATCGTATGGATTCCGTAAGATTCGTATGAATTCCTTTGCTAGCCCTGCTTGTAGCTGCGGGTGTCAATACGAAACAGTTACTCATTACCTATTACACTGCCCTTTACATAACTTCCACCGTTCAGAACTCCTCAGCAAACTTTCTGGGATCTTAGGACACTCTGTTAACTTACATACTCTTTCAGGTATAGAGCGAAACAACTTTTAATTTTGAACGGTTCCCCGGTTTATTCTTTTCGAGTTAACTGTAACATTATGTCAACCGCCCCGAATTACATTTTAGCAACAAAAACGTTTTTAATTCTATTTCTGTCCTTCTCATCTTTTGGGTGGGGAATGCGGACTCTCGCTTTATCAATTCGACTGTTTGTTCTTTTCTTTTACATATATTCTTGGTTAGTGTTTTGGATTGTTTAGTAATATTAGTTTTATTCGTATAAGTGGCGGCGCTAACATAAGTTACCTAACTTGAGCCCGTCGTCATTTTGTCCTGTGCCCTTATTTTGTTTATTGTATGCTGAATAAAAAAATCCTTTGACACCCCTGAGTTAGTGATTTGGACATGTTCGTACCTCCAGGCTGGAAGGCGGCCCGGTCTGGGATGTGGAGCAGCTTGTTGGGGGTCTGGAGCCGCGCGTCTGCCGGCACGTCACTCAGATCTATCCCGTCATTCACCGCGGTCTGCAGCAGCTTCATCCTGATCTGCGCAGGCGTCAGGCTGGGGTCCGAGTCCAACATGGCGACCACGGCACCTGAAGGTCAAGGTCAGGGTAAGGTTATGGTTATGGTCGGGGTCAGGATAAGGTCAAGGTCAGGACAAGGTCAAGGCCAGTGTAATGTCAAGGTCAGGATAAGGTCAAGGTCAGGATAAGGTCAAGGTCAGGGTCAGGGTCAGTGTAATGTCAAGGTCAGGATAAGGTCAAGGTCAGGTAAAGAGGTCAAATACATATGAGCAAATAAACGAAAGATGGTCATAAATGCAATTAAAAGATTTTGAGGTACGCTGGCGGCTTTCTTGTGAATCGCAGTTGCAGTCACACCTTTTGAAAAAGAGTAGGGGCATGCCCCAGTGTGCGATGGCCCAAATATCTATCTGATTATTCACTACGGACTCCAGGAAGAGTAGTGTGACATTCACACTAATGGAGATCCTGAACAAACAAAAAAACAAACCTGCAACAAGTGGAGCAGCAAAAGAGGTCCCGCTGCGGACTCTTGAGCAGGTGTCACACCTGGCGCCTGCACTTCTCACGCGGGTCGCTGGGGCCAGGATGCCCACGCACCGGCCGTAGTTAGTCCCGCGGTACGTGCCGTCTGCCGGGCTGGTGCCGCCAACTGTGATCACCTACGCGAGAAGTAGTGGTGGCAGAATTTATTTATTGTTTTCGTCAAGAAGACGATGTAATCGTTGTGTGGCCTGGTGTGGATTCGTATGTAGGTCGACGTTATAACTCCATTATTTGTCGGCAAGTTTTTGGCGACGTCTCAGGGAGGAGCCTAATGGTGTGTAGTTTGCAAGAATTCAAGGAATAGCACAAGCATTTTGTCCACAGGCCTGTCTCTGACCCACATCTATGCCCACATTCCTGGAAACCCTTGGGAAGACCTCTCTGCTCCGAGTGGCCCTACTTTCTGTGACCCCGGGGCTCGTTCATTATATACTCAGGGAAGGAGTGCACTGTATCTGTCTAGACTTAACAGGTACCAAGACTTAGTCTTCCTCAAAATCATGAAATGACGGCAGTGCCATGCAAACAATAACCCTAACAGCAACCACCGTCTCCATGGCAATGTATGTTTTCATTGCCAGTCTTATTTCAATTTTTGGTGTGCTGTTGTTGAAATGTATTTCAAGTTTTTAAAAAAAATAGACCACCTGGCTTTTCCCAGTCTATTTGTGCTTTTTGTGCCTTTGTCGATTGTATGTATGTATCATAAGTAAAAAAAAATCTGTGAATGGATCTAAATGATATTTGGAAGGTGTGAAGCGGTTATAAAAACAAATTTGACGGTCAAAAATAATGGTTCACCTATGACGTTCCTACGTTGCTGCAGAGATTTGTGTATTTTGGGGTTTCTGTTTGTAGACTACATAACTTGAGAAAACGCGGGCAGTTTTTAATGGTATTCAGTGTTTGGATAGGGACATGAATGACGAAGATCAAGTTCGATAATAGGCCTTCTAGCGGCTTTTTAGGCATTGCAGCGTTAACATAAATACCACCATCTCACCTCGTCCTCGCTGGCCGGTACGTACTTTTTTACTTTAGTACTTGCAAGCATCCCAGCGGTCGTTCCAAACGGACGGAGCATTAAAATGAAAATGATATGTTTCTCTTCTGCGAAGGTAAACATCAATACCACCATCTCACCTCGTCCTCGCTGGCCGGTACGTACTTGCAAGCGTCCTGGCGGTCGTTCCCGGCTGCTGCCACCACAGGCACGCCGGTCCCCACCACCAGTTCCCGGGCCATCTGGTTCAGGGTGGAGGCGTTGGACGCAGTTCGAGGGCCTGAGCATTAGAAACAGATAGAAGTAGGATATAGGGGTTTTGTTTTACACAACCAAACTTGTCTATTACCTTGCTTACTTTTCGGTGTCTGCCACGTTTGGGATTGTGTTCTCGCCGCAAGAACGCCACCTGCATCAGCTAGATATAGCGGCGAGATGCAGTACTCCAGTCAGAAGACACCGAAACGTAAGCAAGGTAAGAGACAAGTTTGGTTGTGTAAAAGAAAATTCCTATATCCTATGCTCTACCAACCTGATGAAACTATTTTCGGCAGATAGAAATACCTTGCAAGACCTGAAAATATCCTTTAAAAGTAAAAAAAAAATGCCACGGCTACTCCTAAAAATGCCGAGCTCGACATGGTACAAAGATCTCGTTTACATTTTATGGATCGCTTCTTAGTCTATAGTCAAATTAATAAGCATTCCATAAGCATTTGTGTTGGAACTGTATGTCCACTGTATGTCTTGATCAAGGAGTGACCTACTCTCGCGAGAACACGAGAATAGATCGAGACCTTCACAAATCGTTTAAAGTCTCATTTCGGACCTAAATTTTTCTTACCTCGAAGAGACATGACGACGACAGACCGCCTCCCCGCTGGGTTCTTTTTCACCTATTTTTTTTTATTGTAATGTTCAGACATTAAGGAAGGTAGTACAACTCAAAGTATATAGCTACGACTTATTTAACGCTGCCACTTATACATAGTCCAATATGAAGCAAATACAGATAATACATATGTGACACAACGTGATAAAGAACAAAGATGTTGGACCATGACCAAATTCCTACTCAATGAAGAACGCATTGAAAAGGTGAGACACAATATTGATGCAAAATCCGAGGAAATATTGAGTTTTAGAAACGTTTTGCTGCTGTAATGAATTGTTGAGTAAACCTGTTTGGCGACGTGGTTGATGCCGAGAAGGATGGTGCTGGAGTCGCCCCTCCCGAGATCGTCCAGCACCCGCACGCTCCTCAGCCGCGCCCCGCCCGCCACTCCGTACCGCCGCCCGCCCACCAGCGCTGCCACGTGCGTGCCGTGTCCGTTCTCATCCGCACCCTGAAACAAGTGCTATATATACTGGAGGCTGATAATAGAATGATGTTCACACTCGGCCACAACTTGGGCAAGACTGATTTGGGAACATTTGCGTCCCGTGCCCGTTCAAATCCGCACCATGAAACAAGCGTATGCATACAAGCACATCTCTGTGAGTGCGGAGGAAGATGACAAAAAAACAAATAAACACATAATCATTTTAATCATCGAAAATAATCTTGTGGTGATCTGTATAGCCGGTATAACCACCCTTCAGCGTAACACACCAGCTTCTGTATCTGTATAGCCGGTATAACCACCCTTCAGCGTAACACACCAGCTTCTGTATCTGTATAGCCGGTATAACCACCCTTCAGCGTAACACACCAGCTTCTGTATCTGTATAGCCGGTATAACCGCCCTTCAGCGTAACATACCAGCTTCTGTATCTGTACAGCCGGTTTAACCGCCCCTCGGTGTAACACACCAGCTTCTGTATCTGTATAACCGCCATTCGGCGTAACACACCAGCTTCTGTATCCGTACCTGTACAGCTGCTATAACCGACCTTCGGCGAAGCACACCAGTATCACAGGCACGCGGCGCGGCGGCAGCTGCCTTTTATTTTTACACCGAACGACCTGTTACACATCCTTTCTTTAGCTAACAAACAAACAAACAAACAAACAACTAAAGCATCTCGTCCCTTGAATATTAACGTTCGCATTACGTACCTGGTTTGTTCCGTCCGGATCGAAGGCGTCGTATCCGGACCAGCTGACTCGGCCCTCGAACTCCTGATGGCTGTACCGGATTCCGGAATCCAAGACATACACGTCAACATCGCTACCTTCACCTGCAGACCAACAAAAATACATATATACACACAAGGAGTAATCTAAAAAATGAACACAGTAGAGGGTGTTATTCCATAAATGACACACAATAAACGTTCGGTTCTGTTTCATATGAAAGACATTCATAGACGAAACTCTAGAAGGAGCATTAAACTTAGCTTGAAATAAAACAAAAAAATTCAGGTCTCAAAATGCTGGAAATAGCGTTTCAGAGGGGTTAAAATTCAAAATTTTCCGGGGGCGGGGGGGGGGGGCGGGGGCATGCCCCGGATCACGCTAGCAGGCTCGCGCCAGCGGCGCTCGCTGACGGACGCCTTCGGTGCTCGAAATCTTGTCCCCTCAATCAAAATTTCCTGCCGCCGCCTCTGAGTATCTATTTGTGACATCCCCTAACAATACTGCCCAACAAAAATTCAAAACCGGAAGTTCTACTGCAGTACCAAGGGAAGCCACTAGGGACCAAAAATCTCATCATTTTCAGTTTTTGTCACACCCTACCAACGCACCAAGTATTAAACCAATTGATTCAGTCGTTCTTGAGTTATCTTGTTGATCAACAGACAGACAGAATGACAGACAGCGGGGTCGTGTGGCGTAGCGGCTGAGTCGGAACCAAGAGGTTCCGGGTTCGAGTCCTGACATGCCACCGATCTTGTGCCTTTGGAAAATGCACTTTACGTGACTTTCTTCACTTAACTCAAGTGAAAATGAGCATTGTTCTGTTCGGTATTTGTCCTTCGCGTTGGTGGCGCCACAAAATAAGTTGATACACAGTGTTCCGTCATCATGTCTACCCATGAAATGATGGAATAAAACTAGAAAGGCCGACCTTTGCTTTGGAGCAAATTCAGCATGACTTCACCACATTTCACGACACGGCAGGAAAATAAGGAGAAATACAAGGGAAAACAATTCTTTACATTGATAAAATATATATAACTATAGTATGAAGTGACAACAGTTGGATACAGCTATCACTTACATTATTGTTTGGGATTTCTAATTTCATACTGCAAACTGTTGATTTTCAAGATAAAAAGAAGCGTTTATGCCCCGCATTCCAATCCTGGAGCAGGAAAGCTCGACATACCAACCAAAACACTTAAATAAAGTTCATGCTGTCAATATGGCTTTGCACAGGTGTTAATTGAGTTAACCAAATCAGATCCGAACAGCCAATCAGCAAGGAGAATAGAGGAAAGCTGCATGCCTATTGGTTGCCTGCTCTACATGCCATTCTGATGACTCATTCCCAAATATGATAACACACTGCTATAGTACATTTTCTATAACACAGCCAAAAAGCTCAAATAAAACCATTCTAAAAGCCTGTTTTACAAAAATGAAAAAAAAAACGCCTGGGGCTATTTGTCCACTCTACCTTCTTGCCAAATTTCATGTTATTTGGCCCAAAAATGAAGGAGTTGAATCAATTTAAAGAAGGAGAAGAAGGAGGAGAAGAAACGTGAGCAAAAAAGAATGAGAGACAGACAAACGCAAATGAAAGAGAAAAAAAAGATTTGGTACCGTTGCGGCGGAATTGCCTCCGATCCAGCGGCAGTGTTGTCTGGTCCAGCCGGTCCAGATGCCATTCTTCCGAGCACATGGCCACGGTTTGAACCTCCTCGATAAAGTCTACGTCACGTAACGTCCGCATCTGTAACCATGACAACGCCCGTTACGTCATCTGTTGATTTTAACTACGAACGCGTAGGACGATTTTTTTATTTTATTCACATGGATTTTGGAGCATTGGATAGGAAGCACTTGTTGTGCTTATGTAAATCCGCTGCTCATAAAACATAATACTGTAAACATAAAGATGACATAAAGTGTAGCATAAACATAAAATAAAAGTGGCTGGCGCACCAATACCCATAGCATATATAACATTATTGAGTTCGGTCAAATCTTCCAGAGTGGTGGATATAGCTGAACACAATATCACAGATACGGCAGTTAGTAGGGTATGGGAGGGAGGGGCTGCCTGTAAGAAGTACAGGTAGAACGATATTCTTCTTGTTATGCCTTGGTGAAATATGTAACGCTACATAGATTCATTATGACTTAAATGATGTAGAGTGCTCGACTAGGAACGAGGAGGTCCCAGGTTCGAGTCCCTACATGCCACCGATCTTGTGCCCTTGGGAAAGGCACTTATCACGACTTTCCTCACTTCATTCAAGTGAAAATGAGTATTGTCTGCCCTGTGTTTGTTTCTATGTATGGGACACAACACCAGCAACTGCTGCCTGTGTCCTACGTGTGTTGTACAGTTACAATTTCCATAAATCAAACCAAATCAACTGTATCTTTATCTAACCCTTACCTCTTCCCTCGTGACCTCAATGAAAAGTGGCCTGCAGACTTATTTGAGCTTCTAAATAATATACCAATACTTTACCAGAACAATTCAACAGTTTTTGTTACATTCAAATCAGACATTCACCAGCACAATACGAGACAACATAACCAATTAAGGCCGATCAAGACTAAATCTACACAAAAACAATTCTTAATGGCGTATATAGGCCCCATCGTCTGGAACAAGTTAAGCCAACTGCTAACAACTGCCAGTCAATTCCTATTTAAAAAAAAAAAAACTTCTAAAAACTTTTTCTTACAAAACCCCAGTACCACTACAATCTGATTTGTTTGTTTTCCTTGTTTTTTTCAATCATTTGTTTTAATCGTTAATTTTTATGTTAATTATCTAACCAATTTATTTCTGTAACAGCGACCTGAATTACATGTATAAGACTTTTGTTTAATTTCCTTTCGTACATATAAAAACTAGTTTACACACATCAGTTATTATTTCTGTGTCTTGATTTTGTTTAATTAATCAATTATTTTCATTGTTTAATTTTGATGTTTAATTCACATATGTTTTGTCATGTATCATAGTTACCTTTGTTTGGGGTAGGCCCTTTAAAAAAACACCTAGGTTTCTGGCCTACCCCGCATATTCTCTTATTGTTATTAGTTGATTATGTACCTTTTTATTTGTGCAAATAATAAATAAATAAACAAATAATAAACAAATAAATGGTTCAAACAAACAAACAAACAAACGAACGAACAAACAAACAAACAAAAGACAGAAAAACATGTCACTTACGATCGTCAGCCCCACGACTGGTAACCTAGCAACGATCACCATGAGCAGTTGGTCCATGACGTCACTGATCTCGCCGAAGTCGAGCTGAACACCGAGTCGCTTGGCTACCCTGGACACGAGATCTACCTTTGCCTGAAATTGTTGAATCACCCTGTCCAGGGTAGTCCGAGTAGCTCCGCCTTTCAGCATTACAATATACCTGGGAAAAAAGGTCAAAGTTGGTTACGTCTGTGAAGGTTAGACATCCAGGTAATGAGATATGCCAGTAAAACAGTTACTCAAGCAACTGGATATGATTTTGGAAACGGTCAGACGTTTTAGGTAAACATCCATTACCTTTCGTAAGTGACACTAAAGCCTTGTTCATGTAAAGTCACCCAAACCGCGATTCTGGTAACTCGCATTCCACACATCTGGTCCACGTGCCATACATTCCTTGCAAACCGTGCCCGATCACGACTCTACGAAACTGCATTCATTGTTTTTTGATGAAAACACGCAAGGTGGCGTGTTATCAATGTCAGGGGTCAACGACCTGCTTGCTGGTGTCCCCCTCCCAGCGTATCTCGGCCGAATGCCGACGTGGTCCCGCCAGAGGCGGTGAAGCTCGTCCTAGAACGGACACATTATTTGACCATTACTTCTCTTTAAGTTGCTGCCACGTAAAATTTTGTATTGCATATAAATAAAGAAATATCACCCCGTAATCCATGACCAGGCGAAGTTACATTGAAATCACATTGCGTTCAGACGCAAATCGCGATGCGGGAAAACCGATTCAAAACCACCCCTAGAAGTGATTTGGGATCGAGGCGCTTTAAATATGATTTGGAGCGTTCAGATGGAGCCACTTGAAACCGGCTTCGGGGTAAACCACATGTAAAGCGCCTTCACTGACTTCACATGAACACGGCCTAAGAGACCAGAGGAGAATTGCAGGTTTGTAAGCACGAATTATTGATTGATATGCAAATACTATTAGGTGAATTGTTTGCAAGCCCAAAAGGAAATGAAAGTTGGTTACGTAAAAAAAAAACAGAGGATAATTTTTACTTATTATATAACGCAAATATCAGCATATATAAATTTCCTCTGTATAAAAACTATTTTCCAGCATTTGAACTTTCGCCCAGGATTTTGTTAATTCCCCCTACCGTTAAAAGCTGTATCATGATCGCCAGGGGGATTTTTTAAACCACCAGTCTTGTTTAATCAGTACGCACCCACTCGACGTGCTCTCATAGAAACACTTCCAGCATCACGCAAGAACAAGGCAACAAGAGATAATTTGACTGAACTGAACCAAAAGCAAACCAGCACCAAAATTATACCATTTCTATCGAGATGTATGTTACATACACCGAGCCTTCCTACGGACATGCGGATCGTAGCGTTTGGCAAAAAGGAGAGTAAACTTGGCCAGGCGAGACAGTCCGCGAACTCTTTCCCTAACCGCGCGACCAGTCAAAACTCCCCGGGGAAAAAATATTCTCCACACATGTATAGCCAGCGTAGTTAGTTTGGTAGAGACTAAAGATATTAGACGTTAAACAAGGACAACAACAACAATAACGTCAAAAACATACACTGCGCCTGCGCGAAATTTCCCCCCAATTTTTTTTCACGGTTTTCGTTGGATTTTTGGTCAAACTTGCATCAAAATTTTGCCTGTTGCAGACGGCATTTTGTCCGACATAACATTTGGAAACTATAGACGGATGTTAACCTTATATGTGCAAATACGGCCTTATATGAGACTTACTGCGGAAGTGCTATGCACAATACATTACGGGTTTAGTGCAGGTGCAGTACGTTCTGCCGAAGTGCTACATGTACATCAAAATCAGTAAGAAGTACTCACTTGTCCTTCACACGCGTCTCTGGATCGCCTCTGAAGACAGGCCTCAAGTTACCATGGTAACCACCTAGGACGGTCTCCATGACGACCGCTGGGACCTCGGGAAGATCCTGCGACTCCTCCCGAGGTTGCTCCCGAGGTCGCTCCCGAGGTCTCCGCCCAACTGACCACGCGCCTTCCGCCAAACACACTCCAAACACGACTGCCACAACGCACCACCTCATCCGCAACAACATTATCAAACTAAGTTTGGCAACTCTAATACAAAACAGCTGTAAATTTCGCTCTCTCAGCCACAAACTTTTAAAAGCAGCCTCGCAGTCTTTTAAACTACCTGCGAACTGAGAATAGGCACTGTAGATACCCTAAACAAAGTTTAAAACTTCTACAAGTACAAAACCACGTTCTCAGTCACACACTTTAAACTGAGCAGCCTCGCAGTCTGAGCGCTACCTGAACTGAGAAAAGGCGCAGAACAGGTCCGAATTTATACACCCCACAGCCGACAACCCAGCGGAAACGCCCGCAGGTTTTCTGCGAAATCTCTGCCAGGTTATACGGGTCAGTACCTTCCCACCGCCGCCGGTGCCTCAAGGAAGATACTAGGACAGGATCCTGACAAATACGTGACTCCGATACTACTTAGGTTTTTCCAATATTCCTGAGACAAGGGGTGGGGTGGGGGTTAGTTTGGTTAGGTTTTGCTTTAATTCACGATTATGATAATGATCATTAAGGCATACTCATTTTCACCTGAGCGAAGTGAGGAAAGTTGTGTAAAGTGCCTTTCCCGGCCCCAAGGTCGGTTACTTGACAGGCATTCGAACCAGGGACCTCTTGGTTCTGAGCCGAACGCTATGTCGTTACGCCACACAACCCCACAACCCCACAAGATGTGGGAGACTAAATCTAACCTAACTCCGATCGTTAGTCTAACCTTAGCCCTGAACAATGATCCCAATTCTAACTCTAACCCTGAACGAGGGCCTGCATGGGGGAGGGGTAGTGATTACGATTACTATTACGAATTATGTTGAATTTGGAGAGGCTGGGTATGGATTATGAAGGTGAAAAAGGCCTGATTACGCCTTACGAAAAAGGGCATGCAGGTCCTCCTGAACACCTGACCTCTCACGTATGTGGCAGCTCCGGGATTTGGCCGAACGCCGGAACTGTCAGCGCGGCGGAAGTGAGTCAACCCGTGGGCGGTCCACCTGTTAGCAAGTGGGCCCACACTTCTGACGTCATAAACGACTTAAGCAGGTTGTTTAGTGGCCTCTAATCTCCAAGCAGATCCCAAGGTGGCGTATGGACCCTCTCTCGCGAATGGATACTGCCTGGCCAATTTGATACTGTCTTTTGCAACCCTATGATCTGCTTGGAAATTAAGTCTTCTCCACCAGACTCCTTTGCAGGCTGAATAAATAGTAGAAATCGTCCTGAAATGGAATGTAACTGGCCTGTGGAGTTAGCCGGCAATAGAGGGCCCAGTTTGCCTGCGATGCCGTCTAACTCCCCTGGCCAGCTAGTTACATTCCTTTTCAGGACGATTTATACTATTTATTTAGCCTGCAAAGGAGTCTGATGGAGACTAGTTGTACATTTAGCCAGATTTCATTCTGTACGACACTAGCTGTCACTAGCCTCAGTCGTTCCACACAAAAATTATATATAGTGGCTTTAGAAAAGCTACTAGAAATGGGCTATGTGGTGGCGGCGGATGCTCGTTAACCTGTACTTGGAATTAGGACCAGTTCGTTAGTTCTGTGAACATGACATCAACTATGATGTCAAATGTCTCTGGTGTTGTGATCGAACAGACCGTCACAAGTGCATTTTTCTTGTAACTGCGGAAACTTGACAACTTGGAAAGGACTACTAGTACTTGTCTTCATGACCCTACACAAAACAAGATGACGCAGGTGCAATATTTGTTGCTAAGTTTGAGGACCGGAAACCGTTCTACTTTGGTACAACTTACATACTTGAGCAGGTTCCTTGGTACCTTTGGCCCTAAAACACAGACAGATTTCATTCTGTACGACACTAGCTGTCACAATCTCAGTCGTTCCACACACACACACAAAAATGAAAAAAAAACAAAAACATATATGGTGGCTTTAGAAAAACTACTAGAAATGGGCTATGCGGTAGCGGATGCTCGTTAACCTGTACTTGGAATTAGAACCAGTTCGTTAGTTCTGTGAACATGACATCAACTATGATGTCAAATGTCTCTGGTGTCGTGGTCGAACAGACCGTCACAAGTGCATTTTTCTTGTAACTGCGGGAACTTGACAACTTGGAAAGTACTACTTGTCTTCAAAACAAGATGACGCAGGTGCTATATTTGTGTTGAGTTACCGCTACGTTTGCGGAAGCCGTTCTATTTCGGTACGTCTATTCACCACCAAAGAACTCTGGACACAGTCGACAGCTTTAAAAGGACATTTGTGGGCAGGAGTCTTTCTAAGATGAAATACAGACATAGCGAACATGACGTTATGTTACAGAAAGAGCAAATGATATCATAGTACTTGTCCCCCCCCCCCCCCAAACCCGTGTTAAACACATTTGAGGTCCCATTCCTGTGTAACCTTTTATATATAGCCCGGGTAAAAAAAAGACGAACCCAACGTATGTTTAGGTGGATTCCTCTACCCCACCTTATGTAATTTGCCGCATGCATATATTCTGAACGTAGGATGACGTTATCCATGCATGTATTTATCTATGTTAGATCTTTAGTTGTAAAAGATCATACAAATGTCCCTGTGCTTTTTGTTGTGTCAATATGGAATCTTTTGTAAAAAGTATTTGAGGTGAAAGCTTGGTTCGGACCATGAAGATGCGAGAGGGCCTCTTTCCTATAGTGGATAAACATTTATATAGTGGCTAAACTAATATTATAAATGCCGTAAATATTGTTTCACAGGGTAGACGTATATATACAGGCAACTGTTATATAGGAAACGGTTTGTTTTGGAATGATGATCATTTGTATGTAGACTGAATAGAAAATAAAGCATCTCAAGAGAAACTGCTTGTATTTGAAAGCCTTATTCACGTATGAGGCTTGACTTGACACGTATGAATGATGGACATTTCTGATCTTCGCCACAGTACTGTTCAGTACTGCGTGCTCAAAGGAACGGTGCAGTCATTGGGTAAATCTGTACCACCTGTCCGATCAGTGTAACCTTAAAGCGTCGGTCACAACCCGCCGTACGTGCATCTGAGTGCTGTCTACGTTCAAAACGTAGGGCATCCGTGCGTGGTGAGTACCACCTCCGTACGGAATCCTACGGATTTGTGAGCACGCAGACACACCAAAGAGCATGTAAAACCTTTTCTACGTGCGGACTGCGGGATCACCACCCGTACGTGCGAGTACGTGTGACACACGTGCCCCGTACGTACCGTACGTAAGCAGCACGTGTAAGTACGGCCTCCTTACGGTAAAATTGCAATCGTACAGAGATCGTACGTTATAAGCACGTACAGCTCACCACTTGCGCAACGTACGATGCACGCAACCGCTCACAGCCAGGCGTGGCGTGCAGACCACATACTTACACATTGTGCAACCGTGCGAGTGATGTGCGTTGACGCCACCCCTTCCTCACGTTTTCAGAAAAACGTAGCAGACGTGGCCTCCCAATAAAACGTACGGACAAAAAGCACGCACGGCGGGTTGTGACCGACATACACTTTAGGGAATTGAGCCAACACCAGCGTGACTAAAGACAGCCCTAGGCTAGGCCTTCCATACCCTCTACCAGGCTTCGGGAGGCGGCAACTAGCGGACCAACTCCCCTGGCATGTTACCTCTCTCTTTTTGGCCTATTCCTGCTCTTTCTAGCCGTCTCTCGAAGTCTGGTAGGCTAGGCCTTCCACTGGTCAGGCCCCTAGAAGCTTGGTGGCCAACACCTCTAAAGCCCTGGTCACAACCCGCCGTACGTGCTTTTTCTCCGTACGTTTTTTGGGAGGCCACGTCTGCTACGTTTTTTTTTCTGAAAACGTGGGGAAGGAGTGACGTCTACGCAGCGATCTCTGTGCGATTGCAACTTTACCGGAATCGAAGGAGGCCGTACTCACACGTGCTTCTTATGTACGGTAAGTACGGGGCACGCGCGTCGCTCGTACTAGCTCGCACGGGTGGTGAATCCGTAGACCGCACGTAGAAAAAGTTTTACATGCACTTAAAGTTCTACGGCGTGTCTGCGTGCTCCCAAATCCGTAGGATTCCGTACGGAGGCGGTACTCACCACGCACGGATGCCCTACGTTTGCCCACGTTTTTGCACGTAGACAGCACGCAGAAGGACGTACGGCGGGTTGTGACCGTGGCTCAGGAGAATTGGGAACATCTTTATCCTGTTGAACCATATTTACTAACATGAACTATCATGATCGAGAAAAATCTGTTTATTTCAAAGGCACCTTAAGCTTATCCATAGTTCATCAAACCAAGGACATTATGGTCAAACTTTATTTATGATAAACAACAAACATTTTAAGATTGATACCAAATTGAATGATGTTGATCATAGTTAGTTTGCATAGATTTTGCATGTGCACATGTTATTTCACATATAAAGTCATATTAAAATGATATCAAGTTTTATAGGAAAACAAGTATGTACAAAAGTAACATGAAAACTAAAACCTACGAGCAAATACGAGTATAATCATTTGAAGCAGAAATACTGCATCTTTATTTTTGTCATTTACAAAAGTACCATAAAGTAGTCGTAACGATCTCTTACTTCAAACTCTGATCGGAGAGTTGCTAATTAATTTGTATTAATTACTAGTATTGTTCATTGGTAGTTATAGCAGCAACAATGTTGAGAACTCGACACAATAAAAAACGTCAAAACGATGACACTCGATCTCTAAACATCATTTTTTAGTAAAATGCTTAGTAAAGCCGACAACAAAATAGCCTCGTTGGCAGACTTTTGGGAGTCATCACTTTCTTCTGCAGCAGATGGCCACGGCGTGCACGCCCTCCCCCTGTTGGCCGTTGCGCGCAGTGCAGGTGTTGTCGATGGGCATGGCGCCGTCAGCGTGGCCGCTCCAGTCGTACGCGCTGCAGCCGGTCAGGACCCAGCCGGGGGAACAGGTCGCCGTCACCTGCGAGGTATCATCAATCAATCAATCAATCAATCAATCAATCAATCAATCAATCCATATCCATCCTTCCATCCATCCATACAACCTTCCACACTTCCCTCTTGACGGCCTGCCAGTCAGCCAATCATGATCAACCGCCCAACCACCATGAATCACAAATAAAGCTGTAAACAGACATGTGTGCGTTCTACCTGTGAGTCAGCTTTCGGCGTGCCGGGAGAGCTGTTGGACCAGACGGCCTGGCGGTCCATGTTGTGAACCAACCAACCAACCAACCAACCAACCAACCAACCAACCAACCAACCAACCAACCAACCAACCAACCAACCAACCAACCACCACCAATCACAAAGCTGTAGACAGACGTGTGTATCATTCTGTATCTGTATAGTCGGTATAACCGCCCTTCGGAGTAAAACACCAGCTTCTGTATCTATATAGCCGGTATACTAGTATAATCGCCCTACGGAGTAACACACCAGCTTCTGTATCTATATAGCCGGTATACTAGTATAATCGCCCTACGGAGTAACACACCAGCTTCTGTATGTTCTATAGAAGATGCCTTCCGTACCTCGGCTTTCGGCGTGCCGGGAGACCTGTTGGACCAGACGGCCCGACATTCCATGTTGTCTGCCCGGCAGCAGGTGGCGTGCGCCTCCACGCCGTTCCCGCCGTCGCCGTTCTGCGCGATGCAGGTCCGCAGCGGGAGCCGCACGAACCTGATCCGTGTAGAGGCGGGCCGCGCACCGTCGATCGACCTCGTATCCGTGGCGGCACTGCAGCCTGGTGAGATAGACACGAACGTTAGGAAGAAAAGTTACAGAACGTGAAAAAAAAACGAACCGCCTGATCGGACCGGGTAGACGTGGGCCGCGCACCGTCGATCGACCTCGGAGCCTGGTGAGATAGAAACGAACATTAGACTGGCCTACGATAGAAAAGTTACAGAACGTGAAAAAACAAACCGCCTGATCCGTCTAGAGGCGGGACGTGCACCGTCGATCAACCTCATGTCTGTGGCGGCCCTGCAGCCCGGAGGAGTCAGAATTGTGGCAAAACATGTACATCTAAAACACCTCAAAGAAGAGGAAACAGATTTTTAGGTTTCAGGTCTCAACATGGAAAAAACATTTCCCTGCCGTCTAGAGGCGGGCCGCGCGTATCTATGGCGGCACTATATTATATAACCTGGTGGAGGCAGAATAGTGGAAACACATGAACATTATTACAACTTACAGTCTAAATTTTCTTAATCTAAACTAAAGGCCTCTGTAGTGTAGCCCTAGTATTTTTTTAAATCTACTTTATGGCCAGAGGCCCTCTCTTAATTTGTGCTTTGGTCTCAGTAGAGCTTTGGCAAACAAGAATGATTTTATGGCATTCTCTTTGTCTCGGTGATGTACTATTACTTACTTGTAAGCAGGTCGCCATCGTTCCTCTCGCACTTGATGTTTGCCCTGGCGTCGTCCTGAGACGAGGATCTGTCGGACTTCTCGAAGTAGCACTCTGACCCCGGCCACACACAGCACCGCGCCATGGCCCACACGCCCGTACCGCCGATACCGTTCTGCGCGATACACACGTTGATATCACCTGGCAGGGCCTGCACATACGGGGAAAGGACGAGTTATGGCGAAGTTACATTCATCGTATGTTTTTTTTTAATGACGTACAATTGTACATGTTAAGCCTTGGTCACAACTCGCCGTACGTGCTTTTTGTCCGTACGTTTTTTAAGGCTACGTCTGATACGGTTTTTTTTCTGAAAACGTGGGGAAGGAGTGGCGTCGACGCACGTCACTCGTACGTCACTCGCACGTGCTTACAACGTACGATCTCTGTGCGATTGCAAGTTTACCGTAAGGAAGCCGTACTCACACGTGCTTCTTACGTACGGTACGTGCGGGGCACGCGCGTCGCTCGTACTCGCACACACGGGTGGTGAATCCGCAGACCGCATGCAGACAAATTTTTACATGCACTTAAAGTTCTACGGCGTGTCTGCGTGCTCCCAAATCCGTAGGATTCCGTACGAAGGCGGTACTCACCACGCACAATGCCCTACGTTTGCCCACGTTTTTGCACGTAGACAGCACGCAGAAGCACGCGTACGTACGACGGGTTGTGACCAAGGCTAAAAGCAGGCTGTACATGTACAAACTGTACTTTTTGGCAGCGACAGCGAGTTCCACTCTACGACTTGTTACGACTTGTTACGACTTGTTACGCCTTGTTACGACTTGTTACGACTCACCGAAGTGAACTCCCCCGCCCGGAGGCCGTCATCAGACACGGAGGAACATCCCATCATCCTCTCGTTCAGGTTGCACCGGACCGAGGCTGGCGCGCCGTCCGTGGGGTCAGACTTGAGGGACCAAACCGTCCGACAGGTCGGAGTTACTGTGGACAAAAAACAAACAAACAAACATTAGACACATCATGGGTTAGCAACCTTCTGTTAAACGTGATCGAGGACGACGTCGACTTCTGACCAACTTTGACCCATTGCTGAGGTCACACGATCACATGACAGACCAAACCGTCCGACAGATCGGGGTGACAGTGGACCAGAGAAAAAATGCTACCCAAGAAATAATACATGACGGGGGACGATATAGACTTCCAACTAACATTGACCCATTTCTAACATTGACTCGTCACTCAGGAACACGTGGTGTCATACTTGAGGGACCAAACCGTCCGACAGGTCGAAGTGACTGTGGACAAGGAAACACACACACACAAACTTTTCTGTATCTGTATCTGTATAGCCGGTATAACCGCCTTTCGGCGTAACACACCAGCTTTGCAGGCACGCGGTGCGGCGGCAGCTGGCTATATTACACCGATCGACTTGTTACTCCTAACCCTTGAACATCTAACTCTAGACATTGTTTAAAGCTATCTAGTGACAATGCCCCTACTGTACTTGGTGACAGTGAGTTCCAGTCTGCAATAGTTCTAGGAAAGAATGAATTCTTGAACACCTCAATCCTCGGTTGATAACTCTGGTACTTGAAGGCATGGCTATTTCTTGTTCTCTTCTGGGCTGGTATTAGGTACTTAGTAATTGGGACGCCCACCAGTTTATTAGTCATTTTGTACATCATGCATAGTCTAGACATTTTTCTTCTGTCTTCTAGTGAGGCCCACTGTAGGTTTCTTTTCATTTCCGTGACACTGGCATCTCTTTCATAGTTGTTCATACAGAATCTACAGACTTTTGTACCTCACATGTCCCGACAAACATGCCTTCAACTTGTGCAATCATACAACAATCGTACCATAAAAATTGACCGTTCGTAAGTACAAATCTTGAAGCTGACTCTAACCTTGACAAAACGATAGATAAACTATTGTGTTGCCTTACTTCCTGAGCTGAAGGCAGATGACTGTGGGATGTAGAGCAGCTTGTTGGGGGTCATAGGTTTCATCTCGTCAGGGATGTGGGTGAAGTCGATCTTGTTTGTGGCGGCGTCGAACAGCAGCCTCATCCGCAACTGCGCAGGTGTCAGGGTGTTGTCCTGTTGCAGCATGGTGGCTGCCACGCCTAGCAACGGTAAGAGGTAACGCAAGTTAGTCAAAGCCCTCCCGCAACCATTACCGTGGTCGCATATGGCGGCGCCCATCTCCGTTTCGTAGCCCTTCTGCAATCGCTACAGCAGGGGGCTAGTCCACTGGTAGTTGTGTGTGTTCCTTTCTTGTATTGTATCAAAGCTTGTCTTGTCTTTAAGGTTAAGGTAGCCAACATCAACTTGCTGCTACACTGTAGTATTTGGGCTGTAGATTTTGGACCATCGCACACCGGGGCATGCCCCTACTCTTTTTCGAAAGGTGTGGTGGGATCTTTAACGTGCTCGAGGTGTGGCTCTCCTCAAACACAGTCCTATACGAGGGACGTCCCTAACCGAAGCTAGGTACTCATTTACACCATAGTGAAGTGAGGAAATTCGTGTAAAGTGCCTTTCCTACAAGGACACAAGATCGGTGACATGGGTGGGGATCAAACCCTGGACCTCTAGGTCCCGAGCCGAACGCGCTACCGCTGCGCCACACGACCCCACAAGCTTGAACTTTACAACCAACTATAACTTTGGTATCCATTTTAACTGGCAGCCGTTACCTGCAACCAGAGGTGTAGACTGTGACGTTCCGCTGAGCTCGCGGCTGCAGGTGTCGCAGGCGACGTCGGCGCTCAGTACCTCCTGTGCGGGCGCCATGATGTCCACGCAGCGCCCGTAGTTGGTGCCCCGCAGGCGCCCGTTCACAGTCCGGCGGTACAGCCCGTCAGCCGCGTTCGTCCCGCCAACCGTGATGACCTACAGAATAAGTTAAGTCACAATTCAGGGTGCGCATGTTCCTTCAAGGAACTTCTTGTAGTTTTAGGCCTTCGTATGGAAAATCTTTGATTTCATACGGTTCCGCAATATTCCCAGTCTTCCATTACTCTATTAGATAACAATACGAAGGCCCAGAACTATAACATGTGGAACCACACCTCTCGTAGGTTTGGGTCTTCCTACGGTGAAATTTCTGATTACCCCCGGTTACTAGACACTGTGTTAGTATTACCCTTTTCTGAGCAACGAAAAATAAGAAGGCCAAAAAGTACATGCATGAGGAAGACACATATATTGTAGGTTTGGGCCTTCGTACGGAAAATTTCTGCTTACCTCCGGTTCCCCTGCCGGAGAGGCGCGGCAGGCGTCCCTGGCTCCGTTCCCGGCGGCTGCGAACACGGCACAGCCCGTATGGACCAGCTCTTTGGCAGCCATGTTCACGGTCGTCATACTGGCACCTGGAAATTTTACGATTTTTTATTCCTATATTTGTCACAATACAAAGCGAGGACAATAAATTATTTATGCCATTTAGAACATTACCACTTAAATTTGTAAAAAAACATAACAACAAAAGGTTAAGAAACAGTGACGCAGTAAGACTTGTCACGTGGCTTGAATTAGTGTCGACGTCACACTTGAGTGACTGGTCGAAAGCTCTACTAAGGTGAGAACAATCTCTTGGGTTGGAACAAAAGAATCCAACTTTTAACTTTTAAACATCTGTATACACTAATTAGGACAAGAGAAAAAGATTCTTACGAGTTACATCTGTAAAAAATGTTAAGAAACAAACTTAAAGCTCACATTTCTTTTTTGTACACTAGTTAGAGCAACAGAAAAGTCACCTGCAAGAGACATAACGGCGATGGCGCGCGTGTTGGGGTTCGTGTTGACCTGCATGCGGACATAGTTGAGACCGGCCAGGATGGTACTGCCGCGCCCCCTACCGCGTTCGTCCAGAACTCGCACGCTCTTCAGCTGCACGTTTCGCGCCACGCCGTACGTTTTTCCGCCAACGAGAGCGGCCACGTGGGTACCGTGCCCGTCTATATCCTGACCCTGTTTCCCGGGACAACGTAATGACAAATGATTAGCCACTATGATGCTATAGAAACATTCTGATATGACAAGACGGGGGACGTTACAGACTTTAAGGCACGTTTGATTCACAACTGGACACATTTTTCATAATAAACAAATACTAGTACGTGGGGGAGGGTACTGAAGCGATAGCCTGGGTACCACACTGGCTCCCACAGTTGCTACCTGGTTGGTAGGTATCGACCGTGGGAGCGGACGTAAACTAACAAGGATGGTACCCAGGCTACTTGAATGATGTCAAAAGGAGCAAAAGTGACTACCTGTGGCACATTGAAGTCTTTTCTTGTGCTTTTTATATGATGCTTGAATATGACATCCTTACCTGGTTAGTTCCAGCCGGATCGAAGGCGTCGAATCCTGCGAAGGAAGCACGCCCCTCAAACTCTTCATGGCTGTACCGGATTCCGGAATCAAGCACGTACACATCGACGCCACTACCGTCACCTGAAAGTGTATCACTAACGGTCAGACATCTGAGCAAGGGGAAATGTAGACGTATAGGAATGCTCACAGAATTCACAATGGCCTCGCCTCTGTGGCGTTGCCAAAATGATTCAAGTCATATCGAGAAAGAGAACAAGAGGTAGCGTCTGTGTGTGTGTGTGTGTGTGTGTGTGTGTGTGGAGGGGGAGGGGGAAGGCCAGACAAACAGACACACACACACACACACACACACAGACACACACACACACACACACACACACACACACACACACACACACACACACACACACACACACAGACACTCATACAGACAGACACACACATACACACAGACACACAGACAGACACACAGACAGACACACAGACAGACAGTGAAGGCCCTACCTGTTGCACTGAACTGCCCGTTGACGGGTAGGTCCTGCTGGTCTATCCGGTCCAGGTGCCAGGGCACGGCCTGCTGCTTCTCAAAAATCTGATCCTCCTCGATGAAGTCCACACCCGGGATGGCTTGCATCTGTGGGTAAGGAAGTTAGGCCACACCGATTTAATTTTATGGATGACATCCTCTGAAGACCCCCAAACTAGTGCGCGCGGGCGAATAAAAAAAAAATTCCGGCCAAAAATAAAAATGCTACTAAACCACAGGAATACAAAGCTGGTATCGTGAATTCGCGACAGTACGTAGCGACGTATACGACAAGCCGGCACATGCTACCTTTTTTTTGCGGCATTCATGAATCGGTACTGTACTTAATATGTACTGAGTTCTTGAGTCGTGGAGCTTCGAATTCGATAGCCTGGGTGCCCGGCTCCCTATTGTCGCTACCTACCATGGACTACCCAGGCCTAGCGCCAGGCCAGAGCCTCGGTGGAGGTGATCTGATTTTTTTAGGGCGACAGGCGAAAATCAATGCGCGCGCGGATGTCATCCATAAAATTAAGTCGGTGTGGCCTTACTTTGTTTATTCATGACACCAAAAAGCAAACCTTTGATTTGACTATATGGATGACATCCTCTGGGAAGCACAAAACTGATGCGAGCGTGCAAATACATTTATGTTGGCATTTAGGATTTAGCGCTCAGGCTAGCCGTTTAAGTCTAGCAAAACTCCAAGGAAAAATACAAATAAATCTGAGATTTTGGACTTGCAGAAGTATTTGGGATTTCATGAATTCATTGAAATAACCCACGAGATTGTATAAAGTACTTTAATCGGGGACAGGACAGAAACTATGCAGGGTCCGCTTCCTGAATCCCCCCCCCCCCAAGTGTCCATAGGCGACAATTCTCCGTGAAGTTTTATATTTTGAAGATTGAGAACAGTAATAGTGTTTGTAAATAGTGTGTGTAAGCAGTGTATGTTCACTTAACAACTGGTAAAAACGTATCGTAAAAATACGTATCGCTAAATCCCTGGTCTAATAATCTAGCCTGCCTAAAAAGCGCGCTCCTGGTGGCCACCTGCCCAGACGTTTGCCGCCCCCCTTGGGGAAACAGTTGCAGACTGACTAGTGTAAACACAGGCTACATAAAAACAACAACACGACAATCTAAATAGATTAACAAAGTCATCTATCATAACAATATCTTTCATTTACTACATATTATTCATTAGGCAAGGTATCACAGTACATGTAGGTGCAAACTACAATCCCAAAAGATACTCGCCACCATTATGCACAACAGCCACCTAATATCTGCTTAGAGAACCTCGGCTACCAGACAACTGCCTAAACCTACGGCCTATTCCACGGGATTGTAAAAGTAGGGATGTTTCTAAAATATGCATTTACTTCAATATCAAAACTGCTACGGTGAAAATAAAGAGACGTGCATCATCACGGACATAATGGTACACCACATGCCCAATTAAACAACCTACTCAAGTAAGGAAAATAAAAGAAGAAGCACTGCTTGTAGAATAGTGGTAGTTCTATAGCTACTCACCAGTCGGAGGGCCGAAGGTGACAGCCGGGCGACGAACGCCATCATCACCTGATCCAAGATGACGTCAACCGCGCTCTCAAAGGCGGGGCCGGCCCTTCCTGCGGTAGCCTGGAAACCCCTCACCACAGCCTCGATATCTTCCCGCGTCGACATGTCCTTCAGAACAACGATGTACCTGTGGGGTTGGGATTTTGAAAAAAAATCAATCAAACTTCATTGCAACAATTGTAGCAGAAACAATATACTATGGAAAGTTTTTATGGCAAATTGCATACTAGTATATAAAATAGAAATCACAAAGATAGGACATTAAACAGGGGCATAATTTGCATTTAATTATGTACAACTCTTTCTCAGCTACCTACACACCAAAAATGATGAAAACACGTTGTTCCTATCTGGACTTATTGGCTTTTAAAGATTTCGCCAGAAAGTCACCTGCAGTTCCAGAACAAGCTGATAGGGGGACAAAACCCACACCACTTATTCCTGACAGGAAAAGCTATCTGTTGGCAAAAAGTCAAGGCCATAGCATGTTCAGGACAAAAGATACAAAAACCGGAAATTCTGCTGCAGTACCAGGAGGCCCATATTTGACCTTGACCTTTGTCTTCCTAAGACTTACCAGCATACCAACACACACACACACACACACACATACACACACAGACAGACAGACACACACACACAGACACGCCAAAATTAATACCTCCGTTTCTCATGGAGGTAATTACGCATAAGCCTGCAATATTTCAAAATAGATACAATATGTCTTCATTATGACTTGTCGCAGTTTAACCAACAGTATATTGATTACCAATATGCAAAAATGTCTTCAAGCAAAATAGTTCCTATTTAAATGACAATGATGTTTATTTGCACATTCATGCCTAGTTTTACATGAGTCATATAAACACTAAAATTCTACAGACTGAAGTGGTACACTACACCTATTGCATTCTATTTAAAACACATAGATATAACATGCCCGTAGCCAGGATTTTGAATGGGGGGGGGTTCTTCCCACTGCTTGAGGGATCATCGAGCGCCCTAGGCGCGAGGTTCCCAGGGGGTCCGGGGAGCATGCTTCCCCGGGAAATTTTGAAAAATGAACCTTCGGAAATGGCATTTCCTGCGTTTTTTTTTAGAGTTTTTCAATGACAAAGTGAGCCGTTTTGCTACGATTCCGGCCTTGCTGGTGACACGAATCTTCCATCTTTTAAAGAAAAATCTTGGACCTTAGTGGACCAAAAAGTGGACCTTTGAGCCTTGTGGGGGGTTCTCCCCCCCCCCCGGCTACGGCATGTTTAACGTTACGCTACATCTACAACCTTCAAAGGTGATATAAGAAAGTGCGAACTCACGATCCAGGGACCCGCATGTTGTCTTCTTTAGCCTGCACCACTGGCCGCAGACGGTCCCGTGCGGGATCAAACCCGTCCACGGTAACGTGCCCGGGGAGACCCGGGACGCGACCCCGTACCTGCCCGCTGGCTCCTCCCCAACAGCACAGCAACAACAACGCCGTCACTGCAGTCCACATCCTCAACGTTACGGTACAGCAACAACTTAATAAAACAAACACGTAAAGTACGAACTAAATCTACCGCGTTTCGTTGACGTTTTATATCCCGGCTTGTCCACTGGAGACGTAAAGTACGAATAGTAAAAAAATGATGAATTCTAGCGTTTCACGGTGAGTGTTTTAGATCGGGGCTTGTTCCCTGTAGTAAAGTTTGAGGCGGAGTGAAAAGTTGAGGAAGTTGGACGGCTTTTATACCGGCTTCTTGGACACGGGAGGGATCCGCGTACCCGACCGGATGTTGCTGCAGTTCTGTGTAATGGACAGCTGGATTCTCCTATAGGACGGCGTCAGGGCTATTCTGGTGGTGGATTTGTGGTAATTCCCCACGTCTTCACTACTGAGAACTAGTCTCCACCATACTAACTAATTTCTGTACAATTTATTTCATAAGCGAGACCATATCATCAATACAAGAACATATTGTAACTCATATACTGTATAGATAGTAGTTTGTAGTAAGAAATGTAATAAGATAGTTTAGTTTTGTAGTATTGTTGTATTTCTGCCACACATTGTACCATATACGATTGTTGAGCAATTAAGTTCATTCATTCATTATACAACTTGGCGGAGAGTTTGGCCGCCTTGGGGTTTGACTGACAGAGGGGGAAACTAACCCTTTCGCGGACTGACTCTCCTGGCCAACTATTTCCCTTATTTTACCGAAGTCTAGGATCCGTAGCCCCTTAGGAAGGCCTGGTGGAGGCTAACTGAGAACTGTGCTTCGCATGGTCACAAGCAGACCTGTGTTACAAGGCCCTGGAAATAGCCTGGCTTCCAGACTTGTTCGGAGCTATTGCCAGACTTTGATCAATAGTGAATGAGCGATTTGAGTAGGCAGGGATAATATTGGACAAGACAAGAAATTATTTACAGAGGCTGATGTCATGCCATAGTTACTAAGTTAGACAGTAGCAGACAAACACGCCGCTATGCGGTTTTACATTTTGACTTGTGGTGACCCATCCTAATCTCCAAGCAGATCCTAGGGTGGCAAAAGACTGTATCGAATTGGCCAGGCACTATCCATTAGAGCGTAATCGGCCGTTTTAATTCTACGTAGAGCGTAGACGGGCCGCTCTAATTCCACGTGGAGCGTAATTGGCGAATTTTGCGTAGAGCGTATTCGCCATTTTAATTCTACGTAAATGCATGTAGCCACTTGGAATTTACCGTAAAGCGTAATCGAGAAGTTTCCGCATTCAGCATAGAGCGTTGTCGGGCCCTCCCCTTGCAGGCCCCCAGAGAGGGTCCAACGCGCCACCCTAGGATCTGCTTGGAGATTAACACTACGGGGACCGGAAGTGCTCGTTCCCAGAACCTAGCCGGAAGTTACATCACCCTGATGCCAGATTTTCGTGTAGACTGTGTGTTTTAAATGTCTTTATTTTACTCCCAGGGGATAGATAGACTTCCAGTACGTATTACCTGATTTTTTAGGTCAGTTTCCTTTCAAACTGAACTGTTTTTTTTTAGCTAGGACGTACCTGGAACGCAAGAGAATGTAGACCCCCCCCCCCCCAACCCCCCCAAGAAAAGCGACGCCCGCAAACGAGGCTAGGGATAGGGCGTAAAAAATACTCTCCAAGCAGAGGGGGAAGATCGTTAACTTTTATATTATGGCCTTTTTTTCTGTTTTTTTTTTCTTTTTGTCACTACCCCACGGTGACCAACCTTGGATCGCGCATGGATCCTTCTGGCCAACAAATACTGCCACCCTAGGATCTGCTTGGAGAATTAATAGGGCGTGAGGTCGAGGCGCCCGTGTTTGGGAAGCCACACCTTGAGTAGGTACATACGTTATTAAAATATATCCCACCGCACTTACCGATGAATGAGACAGGTGTCCGTTGTATTATTGTCTTTTTGTGTTGTGACTGAGCTATTAAAGCGGATGTGATCTTCAATGCGGCGTGATCATACACAAAACATGCTGAAAAGATGACATCATGAAGAAATAACATAGGCAGTGACTTGCAAAATTTGGTCGGGCTCAAAGCAGATGTTAGGTCTGGACTTCTTGTTTGCTCGTGAAGTGTATAATGACGCTGTCAAACTTTTGATTTTGCTAGCAGAAAATACGTAGCATAAAACAACGAAACAGTTAGTATGACTATACTGTAGTATTACCAGTGATCTTTGAATGCGAAAAAAACAGTTATCATCATCATATTTCTGATGGAACAATCAATGTAGTCGACAATCTATCGGTCACTTTTTTTAAATCCATAAATGTTTGCGAGGAGCTGAAACTTAATACTATATCCGACGACTCAAGCATGAAAAGGAGCAGCTATGAATTCAGCTGGAAGCAGAATGTGGGAGGAAAAGGGTGGTACAATAACAATAGATCAATGACAATACAACGTGTCATTATGAATCACAAATTCGGGGGCAAATACAATAGAAAGTCGTGACATCCTTGCAGAACAGTGAGGATATGCTAGCCTCTACCAGGCTTGGGGAGGCGGCTGGAAAGAGTAGAAATCGGCTAAATAGAGAGATAAGCATGCCAAAGGTGTTTGTCCGTTGAGAGAATTAACATTTCACCGGACCGTGCCCAAGGTGCGAACTGTTCTCTCAACGGACAAACTCCCTTGGCATGCTTATCTCTCTATTTAGCCGATTTCTACTCTTTCCAGCCGCCTCCCCAAGCCTGGTAGA